GGTAAAATTACTCAACGTAATAGTGACTTATCTAAGTGGTGTTAGGTATAAGAATATCAAAGTATTATACACCACAAATATTAAAGCTGTATAATGGTAGAAAATATCATATCATTTAAAAACCATACTACAACCCTCCTTCCACATACATATATATACACACACATACATAATTTCTGTGTATCCAAATTACAATATTTAAATTTTCACTTATTAGTTTGGGTTATTATGGACTGGAGGGCTTGGCCCAGCTGGAGTATAATCCATCGCCCCCAAGTCATAGGCGTTTTCCAAGGCTCCTCCATGGCTTATGGTGGCCAGCTGATCCTCCTGGCTATGCCTCGTCTTTTCAAGCAAACTCGGTGCACCGAAAGACCCTAAAACACCATGCACAATAAAGTATTAAAAAATATGATACCTATGATAAACCGTAATTCAAAACTAAATATCCTTGACAGGAGTTACCTGGAGTTGTGACGAGGAGAATGAAAAGAAAGAGGAGGGGCAGTAGTCGAAGGAGGCGAACGCATGAAAGTGTTGATGCCTTCGGAACCATGTTTTTGCAAGCAATCCGTCTTTGCTCGGTGTAATTTGATTTTATTTTTATGAAGAATTTGGGTTATATAGAGCTTGGATTGTGTCTCCATGTGTATATATATATATAAAGGGCAACCCTTGTTTGCTCTGTGTAAGTTGACTTTCCTTTTATGAAGAATTTGGCTTATATAGAGCTTGGATTGTCTCCATGTATATAAAAAAGAAAAAACTAATAATAATTTTTATAATTGTGTTGTGTGTTGCAGGTTTTTGGTTTCTATATGTAACGTTAAAGTTAAAAAAAGGAAAGTTTTCAAAAAATGGCACCAATAACCAACCATAACGTTCTCTTAAAACCTTCAACCGCCTCACTCATTCACGCATCTATCACCGTAACACTTTATTTCAATATTATGCATGTGTCATGTTCTCGAATTGCAATGTCAATCGGGATGATGTGATGTTCCACATTGATTGGGGAGGAGAACAAAACACCATTTATAAGAGTGTGAAAACCTTCCCCTAGCAGATGCATTTTAAAGCCTCGAGGGGAAGCCCGAAAGGGAAAGCCCAACAGGGAAAGCCCAAAGAAGACAATATCTACTAGCGGTGAGCTTGGGCCGATGTATATGTACACACAAAATGCATGAGGTCCCTATAGTTTTGCAGGATCCATTTTGTTGCATGCAATAGAATGAGTCATTTTAATAAATCTATCTACCACAACAAAAATACAATTTTTACCAAATTTACGAGTGTGCAGTAACCCAAGAACAAAGTTTATAGCACTAAAATGAGTCATTCAAAGGAGTATATAATCCGTTTGGTTGTGATCTACATTTAGCTTAATAAATCTATCTACCACAACAAAAATACAATTTTTACCAAATCTATTAGTGTGTAGTAACCAAGAACAAAGTTTATAGATATATTAGTCCAAGGTTTATTAGGTACATTCAAAGAAGTATACAATCCGTTTGGTTGGGATCTAGATTTAGCTTCTTTGCGTTTAAAACATTTGCTGCAAAACTTATGAACATCGTGCTTCATCTTTGACCAAAAGAAGTGTTTATGCAACATCTTGTAAACTTCATTAATCCTAAGATGTCCCATCAAGGCACAGCTTCTCTTAAAAGCAAATCTTTTCCACAACTTTTTTTTTTTTTTTGCAAGACAAGATGCATAAATAGTCATGAAATCTTGGTCATCTCTATATAATTATGTAGCGTAGTATGCTCAAATCCAAGAATTTAGAAATAAAAAGATCATATCTTTTAAGGTAACATATCAGCTACCATATTATCCTTACCTTGCTTCTATTTGATGACATACGAAAATATTCCAATAAATTCCATCAACTTTGCATGTTTACGGTTCAGTTTGCATTTCTCTCTATTTTTCTCACTATTTTTCTTTCTGATAGGTGTTTTGGAGATAACTGAAGATTAGGTTTGGTTTTCGTGGTGATCCCGACGTCGGGCACGCTTCATGGGTCGTGTGCGAACGAAAACTCCAGTGTTTGCCAGAGTTTTCAGTATCGCCTACAACCACGATTTTTTTATTTATTTATTTTTATTTTTTATAATATCTGATCCCAACTATTTTTTTAAAAGTTTAGATATTAAAACAAAAGTAGCAATTTAAGGGCATTTTCTATATTTTAACCTAATTTTGTATATATATAAAACAACATATATCCAAATCGTTTACTTTCATTTCCTATTTCCAAATTATATCTTCAAATATGAAGAGAAAGAGAAATAAATATTAAAGCTAATAATGATAGAAAATATCGTATCATTTAAAAAGCATATTACAATCCTCCCTCCACCCATGTAATAAACCAAAATATTTAAATTTTCACTTACTAGTTTTGCTAATTATGGACTGGACGGTTTGGCTTGGGTGGAGTATAATCCATCGCCAGGAAGCCATCGGCGTTTTCCAATGCTCCTCCATGGCTTATGACAAGCTGATCTTCCTCGCCGTGCCCCGTCTTTTCAAGCAAACTCCGTGCACCTAGAGACCCTATAACACCATGCATAACGAAGTTTTAAAGAAAGAAATGTTAGTTACAGTATGCAAATATTGTAACTATGGTAAACCGTAATTCAAACCTAAATATTCTTAATATTCGTTACTTGGAACTGTGACGAGGAGAATGAAAAGGGCGAGTTGCGGAAGGAGGGTTGATGCGCCCGAGACCATGTCTTTGCAAGCAACCCTTGTTTGGTGTGTGTAATGTGATTTTCTTTTTATGAAGAATTTGGATTGTGTCTCCAAGGTCTATATAAGAACAGCCAAAAATTTCGGCATTAACCAACCATAACCTCTCCTTAAAACCCTCATATCACTTTATTTCAACAGTTTACGCCGGAAGATTAGAGAAGGAAAAATAGTATACCCAATCCAACACCACACGGGCTGCCATGCAACGCCTCATCTCGACTCGGCTCAACATGTTACCGGCGTGGCACTCTGTCGGTTTGGCTTGATGGCTTGACGACTCGCCTTCTCATTTTAAACGGCTCAGTATACAAATAATATATAGCTTCTTCGGTTTTCAACCCTTTTGAAGTAATTTTGAAGGCATTTCGATTCCTATTTACTCAAGTTTACTTAGTTTTAGGATTTATATTAGAAATAATCATCCTATTTAATTAAGTTAAAATATTAATATGTTTTGTTTATGTCATGTGAATTTATATAGGTGGGAATTGAACATTAGAAGCATAGTTTAAAAACAACTACCAAGTAATTAGTAACTCCCGTGTGAATTTATACCGGTGAGAATTGAACATTGGAAGCATAGTTTAGAAGTAACAAGTAATTAGTAACTTCGACTGAGGCCCACTAAATAAGTAACCTTAGTGTTGGGGTAGCTAATTAGTTCGTGTATGGTATATGTCCTATGACTTCTGATACCATATTATATGTGTAATGCTTATATTATGGGATGCTTCTTTGTATAGTTATGTGATGTTATGTATACATGTATATTCATTACATTATATTATTTCTCTCTAATAGCTATGCGACATGTGGTGCCTTTTAGTTGGTCAACCAGAGCCGGAGTGGCACACGTTTGATCCTTCATGGGAGTGAGGATTTCTAGATTTACTAGGTGTTGAGATCATCACCCCAACACGTGGTAACGAGGTTGCCTGTTGCATTTTTCCATTCAACATTTGACACGTGTCTCTCTCTCCTCACACTTCTGTCGATTCTTACAAAACTCATTGCAATTGATTCCTTTACCAAATTTGTAGAGTTTTAATTGTACATAACTCTCGTGAACCTGATGAAAATCAAGGCTAAAACTCTAAAATCTTACCTCTCATTCTTCTTTGATTCTTGACGGATTAGAACTATCCAACCATCCCGAATGCTTCTTCTATGGCCTCATGAAACTTTCGTGAATGAATCTTGGTTGGAATCATACTCTAAACGCTCAAACAATTAGCTGATGTGGGACTTTCATTATCCAACACCTCCCCTTAATTGAGGATTGACTCCAACTCCTTTGGAGTCTTGGTCATTTTTCACTATGCCTTCGAGGAGGGTTGACTTCTTTTCTTTTGGAGTTCTTTGTTCGACATTTGAGGATTTACCAATCTATTGACACGACTAAGTTTAGGGCATGACTTTGATACCTTGTTAGATGAACACAACTCTCCACAGTGGTATGATATTGTCGATTTTGAGCATAAGCTCTCACGGCTTTGCTTTGGGCTTCCCTAGAGGGCTCATACTAATAGAGAGAGTATTATTTGATTATAAACCCATGAACATTCCCTAAATTGGCCGAGCGGAACTTTCTTCATCCAACATGTTTGACCTCCCATCACAAAAGGGGACCTGGAGAGGGTTGATTTTGATTATTTTTTCTAATTTTTTTACCATTTTATTTTATATTAAAAAAATTCATTCTTATATTATTGACTTACCTGTATAAGAGGAAGGGCATAATTGTAAAACACTAAAGTTAACATAGACTTTTCAAAAAAGGAGAGGCGCTTTTGGAAAAGAAACAGCAGCAACACAAGGAGTACAAAGATTCCAAATACGACCAATCATAGTTCGCCATCTGGCAAATTTGACCCACCCACCTTCTTCAACATACCCGCGCCTGTTACTCTTCATCTACCTTCCTTTCTCCCGCACTGCGCTTCCCAGAGCGGCACAAATACTCTAGCAGCCTTCTTCTGGTTTGTTCTGATTTTTTACTTCTCTTTTGTCGCACTGTATGCTCTCTAATTTATTAGCTCCATCTTAATTTTCCCCAATTTCTTTGATTTTGAGCATACCCCATTTCTTAGATCGCATTTTTTCTGTATTTTCTTCAATGGGATTGTTTCAAGGCAGTTTGATTATGCTTATACCTACTTATCTGCATTTGTAAGGATCTTCTTTGAATCTTTGGTCCCTTTTTCCAGCTTGATTTATCGACTGCTCTATCGGTCATGGACGGAAAGGAAACGAACAGAAATTCATCACAAGTATGTGTTGTTATTTTGCTGTTTGATTATGCTTCTTGTTATTTTGCTGTTTGATTATGCTTCTTCCTTTTCCAGCTCGATTCATCCACTGCCCTCTCGGACTTGGGAAGCGAAAAAATAAGGAGAAACTCATCACTAGTATGTGTCCCCATAATGGCTGATTCACCTCATTTGATGATTGCTGATACACACAGGGCAAACATTAGTGGTGCTGATCTTGTTGAGATACGATTAGATAGTTTGAAGATTTTCAATCCTCGAGAAGATCTCAAGACTATTATAAAAGAATGTCCATTACCTACTTTATTTACTTACAGGTTTTTCTTCACTGGAATCTCTCTTTGATTAAACTTTACTTTCTAATCTAACTTCGCCATAAGTAAATGAGATTTTATTGATACAATCAATTCTGTTTCTGAAGACCTAGTTAATGAAAGCGAACTGGAAAAGTACTAATTAATATCTTAAAATTGATGGTGAATTTGGAATTAGTGTTCGTCGAATTCATTTGTATGCCATTTTTTATTGCTGATACTATTGTGTTTAGCATCTGATACAGGAAAGCCTTCTCCTTGTATATATGAATGAAGTACTGAAGGATAAATGCTAAGCAACTTAGGATTGAAGTGTCTAACTTGAAGCGAAGCCATACACTAATACTGAAGAGTTTCCAGCACTTTTTAAGTTGAAATAAGAATGTGTTTCGTTAGCCAAATGGGTTTGAAGGTTCATTAAACAAGGTCATTCTCTTTGGCATAAACTTATTGTGAAAATAATTCTGGAGTGGCTATTCTGATTGGTTTATTGGTCCTTTCTAGTATAATAGTTCATGTAGCTCTAGGCTTTTAATTGTTGAACTCAGAAATTTAGTTCTCGATTTCTCTAAACTTTCACTTGGTGGTGCTTTTCGAATCAAAATCTCGGAGGCATCTGTGAAATATGAAGTTCCACTGATAAAATCTGTTTCCTCTTTGGACAATATGGATGGTAGTAAAGGACTTATCCATAATTCAAAATTGAAACTTTCGAGGTAATGACTAGGCTTTGAATCCTGGGAGAGATTTTAATGATTGGGAAATGAAAGATTGGGATCACCTGTTTCAGAAAAAAATTTTATGGGAAAATACCAACTGGTTTAAGGTATAAAATCTTGGGGACTTTGGAAGATTCTGGTCTCATTCCAGTAAAATCCATTATCTAGAGTTTCAGCGGGGACCTATGTAATCAGTACTCTGTTCTTATAAAGTTATTGAACTGCAATGTCTTCTTGTGGCTCTAACTTTGGATGGCATTAATACTATGGATCAAGTCTAGCAGATGCGACTGTCTCTCTCTGTCCCTAACTAATGCATGTGATGAAAAAAGAAAGAAAGAAAGAGAATAAAGAGTTAATTGACTATTCCATCATTGTTCTTTCTTGGCTATTTGGTAGATCAATAATCTATTGTACTTTTCATTTTAGTTAAGCTATTAAAAGTTTTTAAGGCACAGAAAAATAAATAGGAATTCTGTTTTGCTTCGTTCTTCTAGGTGGATTAGTCCATCTTCATCAGTTTTTTGTGCCTTCTTCTCCTGTAACTGATTGTTCTCTGGGATCGTAGCCATTTGCAACACCATTTTATGATTCGAAGGCTAGATCTTTTGTTAGTTTTATCACTTCTGCTTTTGGAAATTTCATCTTTTCAACCAAATGCAAGGCGTTTGTTACTGAAAAAGTTGTCATGCAAGCCATTGAGACAATATAGGGATTTTCTAGATGAGATCTTCACGTCAAAAGTTTTGGGCCATGCTGGAAAATGCAAATTTGTGGTTGTATTTGTCCACCAATTACTCTATCATCATGGGAGGCCTCGGGGGAAAGATTACAATGTCTATGGGCCTTCGCCAAGGTGACCCATTATCACTTTTCCTTTTCATTCTAATTGTTGACTGGTTTTGGGAGGACCCATGGATTGATGATAGAGCTCTCAAATTCTCTTTCCCAAGGATCTATAATATAATAACTACAAAAGAAAGTTTGGTTTATCTGTGTTGGTCTGAGTCTTCAAGAGATTGGCTTTTATGCCTGTTGGAAAAAATATGACTGATGAGGAAGCTCTTGGATCCGTGACATTACAAAAATGTGTTAGAGCAAACTAGGCCGTTTCATGAAGGAGCCTCTAAGTCATGGCCTCTCCAAAATGATGGCTGTTTCTTAGGCCTTTAACCCACTTTTGAGTGATGATAGTGCACTGTTGATATTGTGATGACTAAAGCCATCTGGAAAGCTAAGCTGCCAAAAAAAGTGAAGATTTCCTTACGGGTTCTCGTCCTAGGGAAACTTAATAAAGGGGTTTGCTCCAAATGAGATGGCCAAATTGCTTCTTATCCCCCAATTGGTGTGTTGTGCAGAATGAATGGAGAAAACCAACATCTTTTCTTCTCTTGTTTGTCGGCTAGCACAATTTGGCCCAAGAATTTGACGTTATTTGGCTTGAGTTGGCGTTTGTTTAATAGAGTTGATGAGACTCTTTTCTAGTTGATTTTTGAAACTCCCTTCCAGTAGTCGTACCATTGTGGCATCTTTGTGGAAGATGTGGAATGAGAGAAACCAGAGGGTCTTCAAAGAGAAAGCATGCGGCTTCAACCAGCTATGAGAGTTCACTCTACTGTTTGTCACCACTGGTGTTCTGTCTCTCAATCATTTTGTCATTAAGATCTTGTTCACATTTCAGCCAGTTGGGAGTCATTTTGTAACTCTGGGAATTTCTCATGTCCCTTGTGTATGTTCTTTTCAGCAATGTATACTCCTTGGTACTCTCTCTTTTAATTTATGAAATGAATGCACTAAGACACGAAGGTTTGCAAGACTCAAATAGTTTCCAAGTGTAATTCTAGTTTGTAAAATTTAAATGTTTTTTAGCACAAGGTTTGTAGTTTCATGAATTGTTTGTTTTTTTTTTTTTTTTTTTTTTTTTCCTTCTTTCTGATTTTCCATCATGTATCTGAATTGTCGATACTTGTAGATTCGAATGGATTCTCCTTCTGGCATCAAAGACTCAATTCCTGCTTGGATCAAGTTTTCTGTACAGGCTCCAGGTGAAATACCGTACAATGGCATATACTATGATCCACCAGAAGAGGTATATTTTATAAATTCACCAATCTATCGTATAATTGTTTAGGCAGTATGGAAAACCTTTTGGAACTGCAATTATGAAAATATTAATAAATATTGGGAAAATAGATTACTGACATTAGATTATAGCGTTCCAAAATGAATGGCTAATGGTACATCTTTTTTTTTTTTCATTTTAGTGATATTGTCTACCAAAGAGGAAAATTAATTATATTCTTAAAATTTTCTCCGGTTGTTTAGGGAGATCATGGGTGNTGGTGATGAAAATCAACGGCTTGAGGTACTTCGATTAGCCATGGAGCTGGGGGCTGATTACGTGGATGTGGAACTCCAGGTTACTTTCCTACTGCTAAAATAGCATTTTTGTATTCAACCGCAACGGGTTTCATAGTTCTTTGGCTAACTTGTGGTTGTGTTCTAACTGATAGAAGTTTAAGCGGCTGTTAATATGCAAGTTTCTTATACAAAAAAAGAAAAAGAAAAAAGAAAAGGTAGTTTAAGCAGATCGAGCAACCTACATCCTTTGTCTAGACCCAAGTAGGTGCTTGGAGACCTTTTGCTCTTAGCTCGTTGCTGGATAAAAAAGAATCAAATGTTCCTTGCTGAGCTTGAGGCAGAGACATGCTATCGTATGCTGAGCTTTTGTAGGGTTACCTCGAATTGGTTATGCCAAGCAGGGGTGCGCCATGTCTAGTCTTGAGCAGTGTGATCCCAAGTTGACAAATATTCAATGGGTGAATGGTTGTTCAAGGCGTCTTCTCAACTATTAATTGTTGTATTGAGCAACTAGGTTGAAAATAGTTCATGCAATATCTTGATCTTAGTAACATCAAATGCTTGTACAGTTCAAAGCAGGAAGAAAAAGAAAAATAAAAAATAAAAAAGAATCAAATGTTCCTTGCTGGAATGAACTTTTTCAAATCTTTGATATTTGTTTGGTCTAATGCAGCAATGGCACTCCTTTGATATTTGTTTTGTTATCCACTCTCATATTGTAGGTCGCTCGTAAGTTCAACGACTCCATTCGTGGAAAGAAGCCAGAAAAGTTGAAAGTTATCGTTTCCTCTCACAATTATCAAGAAACTCCATCTTTAGATGATCTTAGTAAGCTTGTTGCAAGAATTCAAGAAAGTGGAGCTGATATTGTGAAGATTGCAACGACTGCCTTGGATATCACCGACGTGTCACGCATTATTCACATAATTGTGCATTCACAAGTAAGCATCACATGCTTTGATTCACAGGGTAAGTTTCTTATATGTTATTAAGGCAATATTCACTATAGCCTGTTTGAATTCAGGTTCCAGTAATAGGGCTTGTAATGGGAGAAAGAGGCTTGATTTCACGGATACTCTGTGCTAAATATGGTGGGTATCTTACCTTTGCTACCCTCAAGGCCGGAATTGTTTCTGCTCCTGGACAACCCACAATTGAAGACCTTTTAAATTTATACAATTTCAGACAGATAGGTCCTGATACAAAAATTTTTGGAATCATTGGAAAGCCAGTGGCCCACAGCAAATCACCCATGTTATTCAACGAGACATTCAAGTCGATAGGTTTCAATGGTGTTTATGTACATTTTTTGGTGGATGACATAGTAAACTTTCTCCAGACTTACTCGTCTTTCGACTTCGCTGGATTCAGGTTCATTGCTTTATAAAGAGCATGCTAATGGTTTTTCTTGTTCTATAAAATAGAGTGGACAACAATGATTCTAGTAAATATATTTGAAATGCAGCTGTACAATTCCACATAAAGAGGCTGCAGCAAAGTTCTGTGATTGGGTTGATCCAGTGGCTAAGGTAACTGAGTTGTTGCTGTTGAAATCTAAGTTTGGCTGGTTGCCTATTTTCTTATAGTGTACGTTTTGTTCGACACATTAGTCAATTGGTGCTGTTAATTGCATTGTAAGAAGAGACGATGGAAAATTCGAAGGTTATAACACGGATTATGTCGGTGCTATTTCTGCTATTGAAGATAAACTACGAGGTGTGTGTGATCTGCTTCGCCATCTTTTCCAGTTTCATTTATAGTTCATATCTTTGATCCATTCTTAACTTAGCAGATCCCCACAGTAGTAGCCCTCAATCTGGCTCACCCTTGTCTGGCAAGCTATTTGTTGTGATTGGTGCTGGTGGAGCAGGCAAGGCGCTTGCGTACGGTGCGAAAGAGAAAGGAGCTAAAGTTGTGATTGCCAATCGTACATATGGTTAGCTTACATCTTTCACATCATTTTCTTTCTTCTGTTGAAAATCTGATGTCTTTCTTGACCATCATCTCGGTAGCTCATAGTTTTAGAGGTATCACGTTTCGTTTAGCAGTTTATGATGTCTATGGTACTAATTACAAGTGTTCGTTTCATACCCTTTTGTGTACTTATCTAACCCCATGTTTCAAATTTTGACATTTTCCTGTATTGTGCTTATAGAACGAGCAAAAGAACTTGCGGTAAGCATCGGAGTCGATGCAGTTACTCTTGCTGATTTGGATAATTTCCATCCAGAGACGAATATGATTCTCGCGAACACAACGTCTGTAGGAATGCAACCAAAAGTCGATGAAACGCCGATTCCTAAGGTATTTAGCTACCAATGATGTGCGTGTGTGATTGAGTTAGGTGCTTAGATTGTTCTCACACAACAAATGATTGTTACTTTATAAATTTTATTGATGAACAATTTTAGCTTCAATTATAGTTCAATCTGTTTGATTTGCAGCATGCTCTGAAAAATTACTCACTGGTGTTTGATGCTGTTTACACGCCGGTGATGACGAGACTGTTGAAGGAAGCTGAAGAATCCGGGGCGAAGATCGTTACTGGTGTGGAGATGTTTGTTGGACAGGCATATGAACAATACGAGAGGTTTACTGGGTTGCCAGGTAAGTTGTAGCCAAAATGATTGAACTTAGTTTTCTAATATATGTTTATATGTTCTTATAACCTTTGTTAATCTGCAGCACCCAAGGAGCTGTTCAGGAAGATTCTGAAAATCTAGTCCAAAATTTAGTATTGTTGCTGAGCTTCTTTTCTTAGTGTTGTTAATGAAAACTTAGTTGAATGAGGGAGGACGTTATTTTATTTGTTTGAAGGAGCTAACATGAATGCATTTTTATGCTCCCACGGCTTTGCATTTGCACTAATAATTGATTATGTTGTCATTCTAAGGAATTATAACTTCATTTGCTTCTAATAAACTTTTGTTTGGAATGATGATTAGCTCAAGAATTGATTATCTTTTTGAACTTTGTATACAAGTAATAAGTTTCGATGCTTATTCCGTGTGCACGTGTGTGGGCCTTGTGTAACCAATTTTGCTCGGATCGAAAAGTAGAGACTAAAGGCATGATGTTATATGATTGTATTTCCTGACTCAAACAATGGAGCTACTTGCTATATCGTTTTTTTATTCTAAGTAAAGACTAGAGATTCTTCTACAGATGATGGTGTTGTTGTGGAAGCTATGTAAATGAAGTTAGGTTAGATGATGATGTTGTTGTGGTGTCAAAGGGAATCATTTTTGTTCATCCAAGACTCATACTATGAGAGTTTGGTATGATGCTCACTATATAGAAATATCAAGTGGGCTTAAGGGTTTATTTTGTTGCACCTTTTTTACCATTATCAAACTACTATGTTCAAGATACACACTACCATGAACTAGTTTAAGAACCTTTTCGAAGTTTTAGTTCATGAAAATCATACAAGTTATGGGTATTAATGAGTCAAAAGACCTCACGGTCGCTCATAATGACCATGTTAAAACTGAAGACTAAATCTCTGTATTTTGTCAAAAATATACATTGAAGCATATGAGATCGAAAGAACAACATCTAGCAACTATCAATGAGATAATGTGAGGAGCAAGTCGATGCTTTGACCTCTAGCAATAGTCAATTAGCCTATGTGGCTAATATTCTACAGATTTTAGCGTTGGAGCAAGACTCAATGACCAAAGCACCAATCCAAGCACCAATTGTACTGACTCAACCAATTCCGGGATCTTGTATATATTGTAGAGAGAGAAACACTTTTGACTAGTGTCCATGTAATCTAGCCTCTATTTTTTATTTGGAAAACCAGGTTAATCAAGAAAACCAAAAGACTAACCCACTTTTCAAATATTTACAACCCATGGCGGAGTAACCATCCAAACTTCTCGTGGAAGGAAACTAGTTAAGTTCACAACATAGTTTCATAGCATAGCACAAACATATCATAGTATAATTCATATCATAGCATAAATCGTCACATAAAGTATCGCACATCAAACATTATAACATCACAAAATATGACATGTGCAGAGGCCTCATAGTACATATCATTCATACAACATACAAGTCAGTTTTCCAACAATCAAATTACTTAGTTGGCCTAAGCCAAAGTCACTGTGCTCTCTTGATACTAATTTAAAACTGCACCTTAAAATCTAATCCTACATAAGGAATCTCACCGTCATAATTTAGAATTTTATTAAGAAAATTACATCACTTGGTTTGCATAAAATAATCTAAACGTAGCTCTAAATAATTTAAATTGTCGAAATAGTAGCCATACTAACCTTAAATACCTCTGAAATAGTAAAAATTAGCTCTCGAAGAGTAAAATGGTAGGTAATGGTACGAACATATCAGACTTGAGCTAGTTCAGTCGAGAAGCCGAGTTGGAGCGTTAAAACATGAATTCTCCAATTGGCTCCTAATCGCCAAAGTTGGATGAAATGGAGGAATTGTTGGACTCCGTAATCTCAGGGACCCTCCTTTTATATTAGAGTCCAACTCTCCCTTTTATACTTATGCATAAGCTTGCAATGAATTAAAGAGTAATATTGTAATAACCAAAAACATAAGACTTACGCAGATGAAACCGTAAGTGAACCTCTTGGGGGTGAGCTTACACCCTTAGATTAGGCACGTTTAGGGTATGAGACTTGATGTCTCGGTGAGGAAAGAACTGAACTATGATACTATAAAGTTGACCCACTCATGGAACATGATGAGCACATAACTTGAGAACCCGATCATGAGAAAATGCAATGAGCGCTAAGTAAGCAGATTTTGAACATTTTTATGTTTACTACGTCGGTGTCTTTGCTTTGATTTACTTGTAATCGTGGAAACCTTTTTTATTTTGGGATTTATGTGTAATCTTCAAAAAGTAGGTCGTTGGTCCACTCCATTGTATATATTACCGTAGGTTCATATCTATATATATATAATCTTTTTATCGACTCAAGAATCGAACATATGTTTATGTATGTTTTGGTTCGGAATGAATTAAGTTGATTGACCCGTTTACATCAGGTTTGGAAATAGACCAAGAGGGCCCACCCATTTGAACATCGCCACCTCACCCACGTGATATGTGGGATTTCGTTGGTGGTTCTTTCCGGTACGCGGCTTGTCACATGAGTTTTAATACACTTTTTTATCTATTAATTCCCTCTCTTATGTGAAGGTGATGTAGCCCCCACTTGTGTTGCCTTCCCCCTTCCTTCATTTAATGCCCTAATTAATATCTCATTTCATTAATGCCCAAAATAAATCCAACAAATATAATCTTTACATCATTCACCCCTATAGTTTTATATATATATTTTTTAAATGTTTACATTTTTACACCCGAAAAAATTCGAGATTCAAATCCCGCCAATGTCACGTGTCTTTGAATAAATGATGTTAATAACACGAATTAACTCAATTTAACAAATTTATGGTTTGGCTCGGTTGAGTTGGGTTTTATAAGAGTGTTTAGATTAAAAAAAATTTAGTGGCGACCCGCCCGAGAAATGGAGGTTTAGGCTCTAGAAGGATTTAGTGTTGTTACTATTTTACAAAAAATGCTTACTTATAGATCAGATCATATTAGAGTTTGACAAGAAGTACTCAGTACTACGATCATTGGCAGGAACAATACCTAAACTTAAGGATACTCCATAATCTTTTCAATTGCTTGTTCGAGAATTACGATCTTTGGCTTTGGAACTGAATCATTTCCTTGTATCTAAGAAGAACTTCTAGATTAACCGGCTCTGAACAATTAGATTGGATCTAAAAAATGTCGCAAAATACCCACAAATACCCGAGTAATTAGCTTTTAAAAAATGAAAAAGATCAATATTTAAGGAAAAATAAAAATCCACTATGAATGAAAAGTGTTTGAAATGGGTGCTTGGGTTTGGCCTACAAATCTTGTATGCCTCTAAGCTGTCCCCTCGTTTCCCACACACCTTGTTTGAGATCCAAAAATTGTTTTGTAGTTTACAAAAAGGACCAAAAAATTATGGTGCCAAACATTTTCTCACCTGAATTATAAGTTTGGAGCTTATTGTCGATAGTATTCACCGTTGAGAAAGTTCAGACCGACATTGCTTTGGTTGCAAACTCACTATCTATTCATCACTCTGATCATTTGTGACTTTGAAGAAAGCTTTTCCTCATGGTCGTGGAGGGAGTTGTGGATATTTTGATTCGTGGAGTAAGTGCTTTGTTGAATAACTTGTTCATGACTTGATAACTCGGAAATGGGTTGGGAATACAATTACAAAACAAAATATAAAAATAGACTGACGCTCTGGAACAACCCTTTATGTGATTGTACAGCTCTCTGAATGCTCCTCCACCTCGATTGATAGCCTACAAACATTAGACAAAAGAAGTGAAAAGGGGTGGATATTAAAATAGTCAGTAACAACCTACTTGTAAGTTCTCATCACATCCTTAACTTAATAGGTATCCACGGGATTTTCTCTAGGCTCTAGAAAAGTCGACCTAGTTTCTATTGCTATTTGAGCATCTAGGATGCCTCAAAGTTCTAGGTAGTTCTTTGATTTGAATCTTATCCCTAGGGGTTAGTATATGTTTTTCAACTTTCTGTTATTTGACTTAGGCAGCTTGCTTTGCTTACCTAATAAAGTTTTGATGGAGCAATATGGTGTCTGCTAATCTAAACATCATCCATGGAAGTTAGCTAGCGAACCCTCCCACATGACCATAAAGTCACTTAGGTTTAGAAGGTGTAGCCCCCGTGTATCGGGCAACTTCATGGTCAACCTATATTATCCCACACCTCCCATTTAGGCAACACAGAGGTCATGTTCAACGGGATGAATACATTAGTATCATGAGAGACAATCATATAGTGTGGCTATATTGCTTCTGACCAATCGAGGCTAGTAGTTACCATATTGACCCAACATATTAGAGAGAGTTTTTTGAGGTAGCACCTCAACATCGTAGATTGTTTACCATTGTGTAGGCTAAGCTAGCTACCCAAGACTATGCACAGTAAGAGTAATACAGCTAAAGCCTAGAGTAAAGTTTGTGGTCTCATGATAGGTTAAGGATGCGATAAGAGCCTACAAATAGGTTGATTACTGAATATATTTGTATACTCATCTTCTTTTTCCTTTTTTTTTTCAAGTATTCGCAGGCTACCAGTCGAGGTGGAGGAGCTCTCGAGATCTGTGTGGTTATAGAGGGAGTCGTTCCGAAGCATCAGCCCGTCTTTGTATTTGATCTTTTGTATTTTGTTTTATAGTTGTATCATAAACTCATGCTCTCCATTTGAAATAAATTTGAATAGTAACGCCTCATAATTCTATTTAATTTTGTGTGGTTTGTCTTAATTTAATTTTAATCTTACCGTATTTTCTTATTTTGTTTCATTTCTTTTTATTTTTATTTATTTTTGTTTATTTTTCGTTTTCGTCTTTATAGTCTTGACCATAAACAAAAATCACCTCTATCACCGGCTCGAGATGAACTTCATTTATAGTTATATTATAAACAAATTATTCATCAGAGAATAAGTGGTACTTAGGATGAAAGGAGTAATTATAGGAGAACAATAAACTTTCGACTCAATTGTAATTACGAACAATCGATCATTGATTAATTTGTTTACAATGATTAATTAAAAAGTTCAACGCTAACAAAAATCAATTTAGTATTAAATATATTAATTATAACAAATATATTTAATTTGAGGGCTCACATTAGTATATGTATTAAATATAAAAGAAAAAAAAATCTATTTATTATATTTGATACATTGATTAAAATTAGTTAAATATATTTTGAAATATCATATGATATTTAAATATGATTAAAAGCAGGTAACATAACTATATGATAGAGGATATAGAAGAATGTTGAGACTATCAAATATTGAATTTTAGGCATGTGATCTTCTTCCCTCGATCTCTCAGCATGAATGGGAGCTCAAATTCTTTGCTCAATCTTTATATTAATTTTTCACAGTTTCCGTGTAACGATCGAATAACGATAGAGAAATTTGGTTTATATTCATAAATTCAATATTTCCACTTCACAATCATTATTATTATTAGTTCATGTAGGCCAAGCTTTTGCCTATCATTTAAGTATTATCTCACGTCGGCAAGATCATAGATCATTGAATGGGCATATTCGCATGAAATAATAAATCTATATTCTTATGAACACTATGTCGAAGATGGTTGGGAGGGAGTCTCACGTTGGCTAATTTAGGGAATAATCATGAATTTATAAATAAGAAATACATTTTCGAGACTTTTTGGGGAAGCCCAAAAGCAAAGCCACGAGAGCGTATGCTCAAAGGGGACAATATCGATTTCAAACCTTCAACATAAAAGACAAAGAAGTCGAAATAAATGGCATTAATGGGTTTGTTTTGTTTTAGGTCAAAATTAAATGTCCAAATTTGGCTGTTCTTAGACACTCCACATTGGCTCAAACACCAAATTTCAATATCAATTACAAAAGGCTATGTCTCCAACCATAAACGCCCATCACTTTCATTACAAGACACTCATAAAACATTGACATTGACTCTCAACACCATAACTCACCTCTCTTATTCAACTCTCTATAAAATCAACTCCTTAACTTCAATACCTTCAAACACACCAAAACAAACCTTCCTTTTGAGCAATATTCGAAACCCAAAACACTCGTAAGCGTCCAATGGCTCCATGCAAACGCCTCGTCCTCATCCTCCTCGTCCTCCTCGTTCTTCTACGTTGCTTCTCGAACACAGCTATAGGTATATTTCTCTATCTAATTAATTCATTACAATAAATTTAAAGGTTCGTTATTCATTAAAACAAATCAAGGAGCATTCTTTTTTAACACTAAAAATGTCACCATATTGAATTCTTAAGTACAAAGTTCGAATCGGGTCGTTTCATTTTTCAATTGAATCGTTGATTTGTTGTTTGCAGAAGCAAGAAGTTTGGGAGTGGGAGTGCCTGAGATTAAGAAGGATGATCACAGTTTGAAAGTAGATGGTGATCTTAATGTTGATGATGAAGAACATTTTATGAGCACCGATGATTTGGTGGCTATGGATTATACTCAGGCTTCCAAGAAGCCTCCAATCCACAACTGAGATTTGACCTGTATAAAAGTCAAAGTCAACGAGTTGTATTTTATTTTTAATTTGTATCATATATTTTATGTCTGTGTTTTTCTTTTTTGTTTTTTTGTTAAAATGAAGCTTCGAGTAATGAGTTATACAGAAATGGAACATACATATGAAGAAAACATGAAACAATGGGGTTTCATGCATGTGCATGTGTTTCAACATCTTATCTTGTCTTTTTTATTTTTTTATTTTAGGTTAAGTTGAATAATTATGAACACAAAATTCATCTCCCAAACCCGACCAGACTCCTTTATTCTATCTAAAATTATTTAATGAACTATTTATTTTTAAATTTGTAACACCTAGGTCGAGTAGATACATAGTTTTTCTCTAATGGCCCTATATTTTTTCAAGCTTCCAAAATTTTATTGAGAGATTTAGAGGATGAATTTCATACTCGTAGAAGGCAAAAGTGTTAGGGATGCTCGGGATAAAATAAAATAAAATAAAATCTGGATCAAAGTCAACCCGTGGCTGGCCTCATTTGGACAGACCTAGAAGAAAAAGGAGAAAGAAAAAGGAAGAAGATGCCCCTACCGGAAATAGAGTTCGAGGTTGGTCAGAGGATCCTCAAAGTAAGTAATCCTTGGAGATAGGAGACTGATTCTGAGCGTCAGACGTCCGACACCCTTCAACGACACAAGGTTTTGGGTTAGGCTAACCCGAACTAAATTTGATCTTAGATCCTCGCACGACCTGGCACAGTACCCATAGTCAAACCCGTCAACTCGGACCTGCGTCGGATGCACACACTGAGGCTAACTCCAACATGTTGAATCCCCGTTTGTCAATTTTTCTTGTTGTTTTTAATACTAACTTCATTTTTTTTTTTTTTTTTATATTTGAATTGGGTTTATAACTAGAGGAAGTTCAAAATTCTTGGCCACCTCTTTGGTGAGGAAATGTATTCGAAAAGGCACGCGACAAATCTGTAAGTAACCACACCGTTTTTAGAAAGTAATACTTGTAGAAATCGCTTGAATATACATGCATGCTAGTAAAACCAATATTAGGACGCTAGTTTCGGTTTAAACTATGTCTAGATAATTTAGTGAATTACGGAAATGAATTCTCTAAATTCTGAAAATTTAATGATTGGCCAAACTTCGTATGTACATGATCATGCTGAATGTAATAACGGAAAAAGAAAAAAAGAAGAAAAAAAAAAAAAGGGAAACATTGCCCCACATTGTTAAAGGCGAGAAGTGGAGGCCGAGGGGGGTTTTTCTTTCCAATCTTTTTCCGAAGTCTTTTAAGTCCTTAAAATTACTTCTTAGCACGTGGAAATGACTTACTTAAAACCCTTGTTCTTGCTTAATCTCTTAACTTCTTTCCTTCGATCCTTTTGGTCTTATATGGGTGGTTTCCCTTCAATTTTAGGGCTACAGAAGTAATGGATGCGGGAAGAACTTGCCCGAGCAAGAATTCCACAACTTCTGCATGTACGTGTAGAGCATTAATTATTGAAATTTATGTCCTAAAATCTTGTATTTAATTTTTAATTCATTTTGTACTAGACCACAAATATTTAATTTCTATTTATAAATCCGTTAATTATGAAGATTAATATTTCACACGATGATCGATGACCATGTGTCATCCCATCTTAATCTTGATCGAGTTATGAACCTTGTTGTGAGGGTTTGTCCTTTGATTTGCATAATCGATTCAACATCTACCATTTTCGGGATTTATAAAATAAGGAGCCGAGAACATTTGACAAAATGGAATTCGCTTCTTTCCACATTTTATTTTCTCGATCTAGCTACAATTATGAACAGTGAATGATCGATTTGATTTATGATTAGATCATAAACAAATTATTCATTAGAGAATTAGTGATACGGGGAAAGATGTTATCAAGGGTAAAACCGACGTTTGACTCAACTGTAATTATAAATAATTCATGAATGATAAACTTGCTTGTAATGATTATATCAATGAATATAACTTGTCCTAAAGTACATAGGAGTGCACATTTGAATCTAAAGCGGAGTTGGAACACATTTACGAGGCTTGCAACCAACAATTTCTACCAAGTAGAGTTTTTATTCTTATATTGATTACTTTATTTTAATTCTTAATAAAATTAAATCCGTTTCCAATGCTCCTATTCCAAGATGAAAGATCTCTGCCCTTTCATTTTGGATTTTTATGTCTAGAGTTTGGTTGAAATTGGGCATCTACGCTCAATTATTTTGACTCAAACTCATTCATGTGCGTCTTCATAAGAAAAATTCCAACAAGTTTCATGAAGAATTCAAGGGCTGATGCATTCCACGTTGCAATCCATACTTCGAACATCTTGAAAGCGGACTCATTGTTGGAATGTCTACCAGACTAGTTAGATGAAATTTTATGTTCCACAAATAACACATAATTCATGATTATTTACTATATATTAGTATATTGATATGGCAAGTATGTTTTATTTGATATATCGTGCTTCCACACATGTAATTCTCATGATCGTAGTGATATGACCACATGTATGACTCTCAAAGTTGTAGGAATTAAAATGTGTTATGACGAATGATTGAAATATTATGATTCTGTATGTATGTTATGATATTATGGAAGGAATTACGGAAGTATTGTATGCATCATTCTTAATAAGGGACTACATGCATGTTGTGTGTATATCGAGCATGAATTACTTCTTCTTATATGTTTGTATGAATGCGTATCTATAAGAATGATTTCGCTCGGGTCCTATTTCTCCCGTGGTTCGGTTGTACGCAAAATTTTTATTTAAAATTTTAAAATAAGTTTGAAAGTTTAGAGGCGTTTTTCATTCAAAGTATAATAATAAAAATGATTTTGAAAAATTTTAATCATTATTTTAGGGGTATAATGGTAATTTGAGGACATAAAAAAGGTGCAGTTGCAGGAATTCTTGATGGGCAAGTTTTGTTGGGGAAAGGAACACACCCGAATCTGTCATTCTTCAATTAGGGTTTAACTTTGGAGTTCGAGGGCTTGCTCTGTGATTCGCAGTTCTCTCTAATCCGTTTTTTTTGTAGGGTTCAAACCTCAAAATCAATTGGGTTCATCTCCAAATCCAATTGAAGAAATGGTACTCTTTCGTAGTTGCAGATTTAAATTCATTTTCAGATCTGAGTCTTTGATTCTTCTGTTGTGTCATCACTTCCGATTATGATACGCATTCGATGCTGGATCTTGTGGAATTTCAGGAAGGTGAACGTAACTTAGAGGCCTCCATCGAGCAGCTGCTCAATGTCGAGAAGCAGATGCGCCTTGCCGGAGATGTGGCCGGCACCAAGAAGGCCGCCACTGACATATTACAGCTTTGCTTTGAAGCGAAAGCATGGAGGACTCTTAATGACCAGATTGTGCTCTTATCCAAACGCCGTGGACAACTCAAACAGGTTTGCAGATAAGAATTGGTGTTTCTCTGCTTTCCACTTTCAACCGTTTCGCATCAGAGCAGCTATGTTTCCTTTTTACTCTTTGCGTCTCAGCTTCAATCGTCTTCAGCTTACTTTCCTATATGAACTATTCTGCATTTCATGATGTTTGTTCACTGTACATTTAACTTGATTGTTTTCATCCAAGCATCGTTCTAAGGAATTAGTTAAGTAGTGTATTGAAATTCACATCAAAGGGGCCTCTCAGTCAGGTACTATTGATTCTTTAAATTTGAACTTCCTACACTGTGTTTAATTTTCATTTAGGCTGTGACTGCAATGGTGCAACAAGCAATGCAGTACATTGATGAAACACCAGATATCGAAACCAAAATAGAGCTTATCAAGACGCTTAACAATGTTTCTGCGGGAAAGGTAAATTTTGTCTTACCTTCAATTTTTTCTTGATGAAGGAAAATATTTTTCATTCAACCATACCCAGCTTAGTATTTTTATATTTCAACCTATTGGTTTGCAGATATATGTGGAAATCGAGAGAGCTCGGTTAATAAAAAAATTAGCAAAAATTAAAGAGGAGCAGGGGCTTATTTCTGAAGCTGCAGATTTGATGCAAGAAATTGCTGTATGTGTTATATACTTTGGCGACAATCAGAATGTTTACGTTTCAATCTTCCCATTTACATGTTTCTGATAATTAAGATCACAGGTGGAGACTTTTGGTGCCATGGCTAAAACTGAGAAAATTGCATTCATTCTCGAACAAGTATGGTCTTTTTTAACTGGTTATAGGTTATTCTTGCACTCATCTGTTTCTAGAAATCTTTTTGTTGAATGTTGATGCCAATTTTTGTGACAAAACAAGATCGTATTTTTGAATCTTAATTGCAGGTTCGTCTGTGTTTAGACCGTCAGGATTATGTTCGTGCTCAGATCCTATCAAGGAAAATCAGTCCAAGAGTCTTTGATGCCGATTCTACAAAAGAGAAGAAGAAACCTAAAGAAGGTGATAATATTGTTGAGGAGGCTCCAGCTGATATTCCATCGTTAATGGAGTTGAAGCGTATTTACTATGAATTGATGATCAGGTAAATGGTAGCTTCTTCTAAAATTTTTTTATAGCTCTTATAAACTTGTCGTGGATTTCAGGAGAGTCGATGCTATGAGAGTATTCCTTCTTTGAATTTGCTTTATGTTTCTGCATGTAATATTTGCAATGTCCTGTCCCTAAATGCGACCCTTCAACTTCAAGCAACTATGTGATGTTTTGTTTATAAATTTTGAAGATAACCTCAGAACTCATGAGCAAACCTTAGTTATTGGGCAACCTTAGAACACTGTTGTATTGAGGTGTAGCTTGGGGAGGGTGGTAGGAGGATGTACAGAGTCACGGAGTAGCAAGATCATTTGGGTAAGAAGAAATGGTGAAAAGCAGCGGAAAAATCTCCTTCAAAGGAGAGCCACAAGCCCAATTATCATTCCAGAATTATATTCAATTTCCCATTCCCAATTTGAATGTAGCAAAAGAGCCTGCTAGCTGCCAAATCTTGATGATTTTTATCCAGGGACTTCTAGGACTCATATCGTGCTTGCCAGCTGGGTGCCAATCAAAAGAGGAACAACCACGAATGCTCACAACCACCCTCCAAAAATCATGGGGTTCCATCATAAATCTCCACTCCCATTTTGCTAAAAGCTTCATTTCTATTCATCACAACCCCAAGGTCAAGTCCCCCATCCAATTGGGATCTAGAGACTTAGTTCCGCTGAACCTAATGAGTGGATTTACCACATTCTCTAAAAAATCAAGCTTACTTGAGATGGAATTAGGAACAAAGAATAATAATAATATAGCGAATACTAGGAAGCACCAAATTTCAACGAGTAAGCCTTCCACCTCGAGAAAGATTGAAATGTTTCCAACAATCTAATTTCCTTAAAGTTCTATCCACCCTTGGTTGAAAAAAGCTGAACCCTTGGAATAACCACTAAGAGGAAGTCTGAGATAGTTAAAAGGTAGATGATCCAGCTTACACCTCAGACAAACTGATTGATTTCTTCCCAAGGAAAAAGGGTGAAAACTTAAATCTCTTTGATCTGAGAATAAGTTGATGAGCCTTCAAATCAAAGTTTATATTCATGAGAATGATTAAGATGATGATTATTTGTTAGGGACCATAAGCAATCAATTACTAATAAAATTCATATTTTTCTTATATTTGTCTGAAGGCTTGTAGCTTTAGAGTAGTAAGATATTTAGAGAGGTTGAAAAGTCTAGAGAAGAAGTTTTCTTGCCAGGCTTGATACACTTTTTGGGTGTGATTCTCTAAGGATTTTTTGTAATTAGGTTTTATTCTTCTAGATTGAAGCTTGGTTTTGTATAGTTAGTTCAAATTATTGTTTGGCTCCTTTTTTGGTTATCTTTATGCATACCCATCTGTATTCTTTCAAAATTTCTCAGTGAAACTCATATTTCCATAAAAATAAATGAATAAAGAAAACTTGGTAGTTATCTTAAATTTTCACTTGTTTGAAATCTTGTGCAAAACAATGGCGTTTGTTCTTGGCTGCCTAGAACCAGGAAGAGATGATGGTTTCTTACTAGATGAAATGAGAAGCATTTTCTGCTTGATGTATAAGCATTCATTTTCTTCCATTGTCTTTGGTAAGAAATCGAGCTTTCATCGAAAAAAATTAAAGAATGTACGAAAAACAAGCCCACCTAAGGAGTTCAAGACTAGTATGCATGAATATTTTTGAATCTTCGATAAGAAACTGCGCTTTCATGGAGAAAAATTAAAGAATGTACAAGGGCATACAAAAAACAAGCCCACATAAGGAGTTCATAGACTAGTATGCATGATTTTTTTTTTTGAGAGCGAGTATGAGCAACAGACATTACATTTATGACGAAGGCTTTGCATATTTTTTCTGTTTCGATGAAATATTTTACAGGTCTGTTCATCATCCTCTGTAGGTATTATTCGCATCACCAGGATTACCTTGAAATTTGTCGCTGCTACAAATCAATATATGATATTCCATCTGTTAAGGAAAACTCAGCTCAGTGGATACCAGTAAAGCTCTTTCCCCCTTCATGTTGTCCCAGTTTATGTTGCGCTTGTCTAATTGTATCACTGTAGGTCCTGAGGAAAATCTGTTGGTACCTAGTTCTATCACCACATGAGCCTATGCAGTCGAGCCTTCTTAATTCCATCTTGGAAGACAAGAATCTTTCAGAGATCCCAAATTTCAGGTATGTCGTTCACTTTTTAGAGCATTTTCTCATTTACAAGGATGTATGAACATTGAACTATTTGAGTTCATTGTTCAAATTTCATGTCTAGTGAATTGAAATTTCAGATGGATACTATTTAGCATCGGTTAGTTATTTCGTATTGTTGTTGTACTGCTAGATTGTTGTTGAAACAGCTAGTTACTATGGAGGTCATCCAATGGACAGCTCTATGGAATGATTACAAGGATGAGTTCGATAATGAAAAGAACTTGTTAGGAGGCTCTTTGGTTGAGAAAGCTGCAGAAGATCTTAAACAAAGGATAATCGAGCATGTATGTTCCCTTTGTTGTATCTCTTTACTTTGTTTAGCCGTGTACTGAACATGTGGTCACTGTAACTGAACATATTTTTTTATTTTTAGAATATTCTTGTCGTGTCGAAGTATTACTCAAGGATTACATTGAAGAGACTTGCTGAGCTGCTGTGCCTCAACCTCAAGGTTTGTAGATATGTTCCAAACTTGCTAAATTTTCCTTTCTTCTAGGTCTCTCTCTCTCTCTCTCTCGATCTGTTTTGTTAATACCGTGTCTTTTCTTGCTCCAGGAAGCAGAGAAGCATCTTTCTGAAATGGTTGTGTCCAAGGCTTTAGTGGCGAAGATCGACAGGCCAATGGGCATTGTCAGCTTCCAGACATCGAAGGACAGCAATGACATTCTAAATTCATGGGCAACAAACTTGGAGAAGCTGCTTGATCTTGTTGAAAAGAGTTGTCACCAAATACACAAGGAGACCATGGTTCACAAAGCTGCTTTAAAAGTTTGAGAAGGATGATTATGAGCCATGTGCCATTGGTATACCGCTCACTCTTCTCATATTTAAACTTCACGTAAAAAAGAAGAATAATTTAGGTTAAAAGAATACGTTTGATCCTGTACTTCCATTGGAGAAACAATATAGTCCTGAGTTTTAGTATATAACAAGGTCATGTGGCTTCGACGTTATGTCTAATTTTAATCCCATTACAGTAGAACATGGATTTGACATGGCTGCAACCTAATCTCACTTGCATATATATATATATATATAGATATGTTTTTTCCCCTCTTGTGTGCAAACATGGCCTTTATTGTGTGGGATTTCAAGGGTTGTCAAGGTAGCACCTATTACATCCTAACTAGATCTTTCACGGTGGGGACTAAATCGATTTAATATTCCCATACTAAAGTGGGGATTAAAATGATACAAATTTGAAACTAAAGTGGACTAAATTGTAAAACATTGAAGTTGTTTTAAGTGTTAAATTCTTGAATAGAAGTGTAAGGACCAAATTCGCTTTTTACCCAATTAAATCAGGCATTTTTTTGGATGTTTATCTTCATGAATGCTTGGTGCAGGTCACCCAGAAAGCGGCATGATTGGCTGTTGTGCCTAACCAGATTGATCAAGAATTTGTCCCGTTTGTCAGATGTCAGATTGTGTTGGCGGTAAGGAACAGAACTTGATGCGTTTCTTATTAGAATTGGAAGTAAAGATTGTTGTATAATACCGATAAGAAATTCGAACCAACCTTAATGCCCTTTTCTTAAGTAGCTTTGGCATTAAATTGCCTGGAGTAGTTTAAATTCTTAGGCTATGTTTGCTACATTCAGCTACCATTTTTATCCAGTTTAGGCGTTTGCCTCTTACATGTCAACAATCTTTGTGTGAAAGTAGATTGTTCCGGTTGTGTTCTGGATTATTATTTTGCTGGATGCTCTTACATTTTTCAGTTGTCTGGAACTCTGCTCTGTTATATTGCCTTAGTAAAAGTTTACCTTTGAAATGTATGAGCATAAATGGAAATTGAAATCAAAATGTATAAAAATTAGGTACATTAAATACATCAATTGATTACAAGTGTTATAGGTGTACTCTACTGTACACATTATATGAAGTTAGCATTTGGGGGTGCGTAGTTGTTTAGTCTTAATAGTTATTTAACATGGAATTGTTTAGATTGAAGCTTTGAAGTATGTTTGAATTGTGACGTTTTTTTAATTTGAAATTCTTATTCTATTATTCTTAGGATATTGTTGTGATAACTCAATTTGTAAATCTACTATTTAAAACAATTTAGTGTATTTCTTAAAGTATTAGATTGATTTGAGATATGGAAAAAATTAAATTTGCTATTAAACTCATAAAAAGGTCGAGAAGGCATCACATGTTGGATGTGACCCATCGATCGAATAATGTCAGAATAAACATCGAAAAATGTCAGAACAAATAACTCGAGGGGATAGATCTTTTAAATAAAAGAACCTTGAGCGTTTTCAATTATTTTTATTGTTGTGAGAAGTCTAATGTATTTATAGCGGAGAAAACTTGGTCCATAATTTGACAACTACTAACCATTCTCATAAAGTTGCTCAATAATGTAGTAACTTATTCTACGAAGTCTAAGTCTCCTAAAATTGCTCCATAAGTGAGTAACTTATTCTACTAAGCTCGAGAAACTTATTCTACTAAGTTAAGTTGTTGGTTCACAATCTCCCCCCCACCCCCCCATAAACTTAATTTTGTTCGAGATTCTTCACTCTCAACAACTCCTGCATCTCTTATTCTACTAAGTTAAGTTGTTGGTTCACAATCTCCCCCCCACCCCCCCATAAACTTAATTTTGTTCGAGATTCTTCACTCTCAACAACTCCTGCATCTCTGCAAACTTAGCCCTTGCCAGGGTCTTGGTTAGAAGATTTGCATGTTGCTCGGTAGTGCATATGCACTCCACAATGATTTGTCTCTTCTCGACACGCTCACGATGAAGTGGAAGTGAGTGTCAATGTGTTTGTTGCGTCTGTGATATACAGGATTCTTTATCAGCGCAATTGTAGATTTGCTATCAACATAGAGAGTTACTGACTTTAGTTCACTTCTAGTCCCTTCGCTCAACAATATTTTCAATCACAATGCTTGACACGATGCCACATGTAACGACCCTAAATTTCCACATACTCAGAGTCGCTACTAACGTCTCATGCTCATCTATAATGCGGAAAATATAACTCTTACATGAACATAATTGATAACGAAAATTTCAAAAAAACGTTTAAAACAACTTCTTCTCTGAAAACACAGCCATGGTCTTACGTGTTTAAATATGAAATACTGAAATTTAGAGAAAACAAAAACAAATACAAAATAATTTAAAACAATTAAATGCAAAACAACCTATTCTAACTTAAGACTAGAAATTTAAATATGAGTCTACCCTATGCACGTGCCACAGTCTCTGCTCGCGATGTCGCCGTCCTCCGTACAAGTGCGCCTTGCCTTTACCTGAAAAATGATGTGGCACACGGCCTGAGTATTTCAAAGAATACTCAGTAAGTGGCCCCACTATAGGGGGCCATGCAAATGCAAACACATGCAATCATGATTTAGGGACCTATCTCTAATCATCTTAGGGGTGGCCTCCAGTCTCGGAAAAATTGGATGTGTAGTACTTCCCTACACACGACTTACACGTGCGAGTGTGAGTCCCCAGGGCGCTCGCACACCCCCTGGACCCTCTGGTCAAGCTAATCTGTAGCGACGTCCGGAGGTCAGCGGAACCCCATAGTGTCATGCGCCTCATGAACACCCTCATCTGTGTGCTTTCGCACCTGTGCGCATTCGCGCTCATCGTAAGGTGCGCGTCCGCACTCATCATCTCTAGGGGAAGTAGCCCTATGCTTATGAACATACAAAATGCATGAGGTCCCTCTAAATCCATCGTAATGTCTCTTTTGACACAACCCTCTAGTCTCATCTCTTTGTTACTCTAGGTAACGCATACTCGTGGATATTTATATAAATATCATTTTTATGCACTTAGGGTTGTGTCCTACGTCGATCTAACGACATGATGCAATATGACACTCATTATCATCTAGCATGCTCAATATTGAAAACATCATCATATTAAGGTAACAATCATGCAATCATCATGGTCATCATAATGCCACAACGTGGGTCAAACATATCAAGCGTCACTCAACAAAATATGTATATACCGCACATATCATCAAGCATCATAATCCACACATCATCATAACTCATACAATTGTTTAGCCTATCCTATAGCAAGGCCACTTACTTGGTTGGCCTTGGCCGAAGTACTCCCTAAATCGCTAAACGTAAGCTCCCGTTCCGTGAGAGCCGCTCCCTACGTCCCCGGGGTTTGTTTCCTATCACACCGTCCCCACTTTCCGTTAGTATTTCACAATTAATTTACCTATAATTTAATAAATGTGAAATACGGCTCTAAAACGGCCTCGGATACCTTAATCGGGGCCGAAAACAGATTCGGGAGGGTCGGAACAGTGGAAACCGGGTTGAAAACAGGTGAGCCGAGCCGAACAGCCGGAGGAGCCGCCGGAGCGTCGCCGGAGGGAGCCCGAGCCGTTTACGCCGAGCCGAGCCGAGGGACTGCCTGCGCCGTTGAGTGACACGTGGCCGTAGCAGAGAAAGCCACGTCGGGCGGCAGTGTCGGGTCGAAGCGCGGGTCGCAGCCCGGTTCGGGTCGTGGTTCGGGTCGTGGGCTGTGGAGGCTACTGGGCCAAGACTAATCGTTGGGCCTCGGCTTACTGGGCTGGGCCGCAGGAGTTTGGTTTGCAGGCCGGCTCAATTGGACCGTGGGTCTGGTCTGGGTTGGTTCAACTGAACCGTAGCTTCTGGGCCGGTTTGAGGTTTGGGCCGCTGAAGTTGGGCTGGGCCGAAGGCAGAGGCCAAGGGAGGAACGGGCTGGCTCTCCCGGGTTCTGGGTTCGGGTTGACCCGGATCCGTGGATCTCGTCTTCCTTACCCGACTTCGGCCGATTTTCCGGCGAGCTTTCTCTCTCTTTCCCGCGGCGTTTCCGTTGCCGATTTCGGTCCTCTTCCTTCCCTTTTCCTCTTTGTTTGTCGTCCTTCTTTCTTTTCTGGGAGTTTTGCGGCCTAAAAGCTCCTAAAAGCCATAGATCTAAGAATCGATTAAGAAACCTAATCTTTCCGACCTCGGTTACCGACGACGACGCTTAGGAAATAACACAAAACGCACCGTGAGTTATTGTGCTTTCGTTAGGGATCCCTCTTATGGTGGTAACAGGTCGTTTGGTGTTAGTTTGAGGGTGGTTTGAGGGCTCGTCGGAGAAACTGGACACTCGCCGACGTTCGTCCGAAATCTCTCTCTCTCTCTCCAAATTTTCTCTTTTCTCCCTTTGCAGGTGTCCTGAAACTTTGCAGGGTGTCGTGGGTTGAGGGTGGGCGTGCTGTGGCCGTGGTTTCGCGTGGGTTCCGCGAAACTCGGCGGTCGCCGGAAAACTCGCGGGTTTTCCGGCGACTGAGTTTTTTTTTATTTATTTTATTTGATTTATTTATTTATTTATTTTTATTATATGTATATATATTTTTTCCTTTCTTTCCCGGGTCGTTACATAAACTACCCCTAAAAAGAACTTTCGTCCTCGAAAGTCTCAAACTCTTGTAGCAACTCGGGGTATTTCTCTCTTATTTCGTCCTCCCGCTCCCACGTGGCTTCCTTACTGTGGTGATTCCGCCACAGTACCTTAACGAACGCAATGCTCCTATTGCGTAAGGTTTTTACTTCTCTAGCTAAGATTCTTATTGGTTTTTCCTCGTAGCTCAGATCTTCATTGAGCTGGAGTGGTTCGTAATCTATTACGTGGATAGGATCCGTGATGTACTTCCTCAGCATCGACAGGTGAAATACATCATGTACTCCTGAGAGGGCTGGAGGTAAGGCTAACTTATACGCTACCGGACCAACTCGCTCTAGGATCTCAAATGGTCCAATGAATTTAGGACTCAACTTGCCCTTATGCCCGAATCTTAACACACCTTTCATAGGTGCTACCTTGAGGAATACTGGGTCCCCCACCTCAAACTCCAGGCTTTTACGCCATACATCAGCGTAGCTTTTCTGTCTACTCTGAGCGGTACGCATCCTCGCTCGAATTTTCTGGACAGCCTCATTGGTGAGTCGAACCAACTCGGGTCCTACTAATTCTCTCTCTCCTACCTCGTTCCAACNCTCGTAATGAGGGCCGAAGAGTGGGCCACCTTTCTACTCAAAGCGTCTGCGACCCCATTTGCTTTTCTAGGGTGGTACTGGATATCTACATCGTAGTCCTTCACCAATTCTAACCACCTTCTCTGTCTCATATTTAACTCTTTCTAGGTGAAGAAATATTTAAAATCTTGTGGTCGATTAAACTTTGAATTTCCTCTTCATACAGATAGTGTCACCAAATTTTCGGCGCGAACACTACAGCAGCCAACTCCAAATCGTGGGTAGGGTAAGTTATCTTCGTATTCTTTTAGTTGACGGGATGCGTATGCAACAACTTTAACGTGTTGCATTAACATCCCAGTCCATTCTTTGAAGGCATCGTTATAGACTACGTACTCTTCTAAGATCTTGGGAACCGTGAATACCGGGACGGTTACCAACCTCTATTTTAGGTTTTGAAAGCTTGCCTCACCAGCATCATTTCATATAAATGGTACCCCTTTTCTCGTTAGCTGTGTCAAAGGCGAGGCTATTCTAGCGAAGTCCTACACGAACCTTCGATAGTATCTCGCTAGTCCCAAGAAACTCTGTACTGATGTTACCGAATTGGGCGTTCCTACTTCGTGACCGCTTTGATCTTAGTAGGGTCTACAGATACTCCATCCTTTGTCGCCACGTATACTAGGAAAGAGACTTATCTAACCAAAATTCACACTTTGAGAACTTGGCATACAACTT